AAATGAAAGTAACTTCTTCTCATAAATATCTTTTTTTTTATTGATTTAAAATTAATAAAAAATTGCAATTTTTAACTATTTGAAGTTAAATCATTATTTTACATTAATTTTAGTCATCTAACCCTGAATAAAAATGAAAGAAATTTTTATTGGGCTATCTCCCTGTCTTGCAACTTGCTCTGAAAGAAATCCACCCTAGTCAACTTCTCGTTTCGCTCCTTCCTCACAAGTTAAAGTATTTGTGTCACCTGATTTACATTACTCAACACTCACGCTCATTGCCTACTCTCTCGTGATAAGAATTTCTTGTTGAACGACCACTTATTTTTTCCTGTCTCGATTAGAAAGTAATCCCCATGCTAAATACTTTATTCATTTCTATTTGTTGTACGTTGCATCCAAGGGAATTAATAAGGTGTTTATGAACCTTTGGATTCTGATGCAGATAAAGATTTGGTTTCTAAAGCTAGTTTGGTCAATTTTATTCCTACTTATCTTTTGAAAAGCAATTATAATTTGTATAAGAACTATGCTTAGACATTCAACATTTTACTCATGTACTTTTTCTATAATTTCACAAGCATTTGGACTATGGAACGGATAAGCTCTTATTTTTGTGTTAGAGTATCATGCCTTATTTCATAATGCACACCAAAATTATACTATCAATGCAAGCCTAATTTTATCAAAACAATTGTGTTCAAATTTTGTTTCTTTCCCTTCTTACAAGTTGTTGGTATTATGTAGATTTCGACAAGTTTGTCATTGAGTCAATTTGTGGTTCAGGTTTGTTGACCAGGTTTGTAGTCTTGACTGGGGACACAACTAAGAGTTAGTTGTAGATCAACAAGCTACAATTCATGCCATAGTTTCCTTCATGACTCTTAAGAGTCCAAAGGGAAAGACTAAATAACAACAACAATAACGTCAAGCTTTTATCCTACTATGTGGGGTCGACTATATGAATCTTTTTTCTTCATTGTTTCTTATTAAAAGTCAAATTCTCATTTAAATCTAATATAAAAAAAGTCATTTATAATACTTTCTAACAAGTCTTTTTAGATATGTCTTTATCTTTCTTAACATAGATCAGATCTAATGCATCTACGCTCTTAAACTGGGTCATCAAATGATCAACATTTTATGTGACCAAACAATTTAAGGCTACTCTCTCTAATCTTATCAACCAGTGGAGCTACTTTAACCTTTTCACGTATATACTCATTTTGCATTTTCTAAGTGTAAAGCCACTCGTCCACCTGAGCATCCTCATTTCTACAACACTTAACTTAATTTTAGGCTTATCTTTTAATAGCCAACATTCTGTGCCATAAAGCATTTAAATGGAATGCTTGTAAATACTTCATTTTTTTATGTTGTGGCCTGTACCTGCAATCTATTGCAGCTAATCCGGTAATATCTAATTCCTTATGTGACAGTTTCTAGAAATTTACTGCAGTTTTATTCATCTTTGGAACCTGCTGCAGTTTTATTGGCAGGATTGGGAAGAATTTAATGTCGGGATGGGCTTGAAATATTTCATGGTTCGCTTTGATGTAATTACAGAGCTTACTTTCAGTTTTTGTCTAAATGTCTAAATTTGGGCTTGGGCATCCTCAATTCTCTCGCAATGTTTGTTTTTTTAAATACCCAACATATATGAAAATGTTGTGATCAACTTGAATGTGATGCTTTAAGTACATTCAGTTTTAGTTCTGTTGCCAAAGTACTCTGTATACACATCATTCATCATTATATCTTATTATGACCGCATTCATAACCATTAATTACCCAGTTATTAACTGGGCGGGATAACTAATCTGCCCTTAATGGTTGTTTGTTTTTGCCCGGGGGGTCATATGCATCTTAAATTAAAATAAGTAGGGAATTTAAGCATCTAATGTTCCCATTGTGTTTCCAGTTCAAATGCCCAGCATGTTGGGTACTAAAATCGACAATTTCCTTAGATAACTATGTTCTTAAGAGAATTTAGGCTTCGTTGGGGAAGGCTTTCTTACTGCTTTAAATCATTTGGGACGAGAAAGCCGTCTCTTTCTCAAACAAAGCCTTAGTTTAATCTATCTTGTTTTGAAACTTAAGTTATATGAACTTAATCGTATGATATTATTTTGAACTGTTTTAGAAAACGTAAGGTGCTATTAAAGATGCATGAATTTTGTTTTGAGGCATTTTTTCCTTGTTCTATTAGTACAAAGAGTCAATGCATGAAAATATAATTATCTTCTCAGCTTATGTAGTACTAAGGTTAGTGCATCTGCTTTTATTTCCCAGTGATTGCTGTTCTGCATGGTCCATGTAATGTTTTTCTTAATTTTGTCATACGTAATCCACATTCCTTGTATGATACTGTTGGGGTGAAGAAGTAAATCATATAATGAAATAAATAAGAAAATAAAATTTCATTTCAGTACGGCTTTTCATCGTCAGATTTAAGATCAAGATTTATTTATGGTCATGTTTGTCTTGCTGTGAAAAATAAATGCCATCACTCATCTTTGCAACGTATTGTCCATATTTTGATGATGTTTACTATGGTTTAGCTTCACCTGCAATCTGTTTGTGTATCTGTTTTCCATTAAGTTATTCTTTGTTAATCTTTTTTGTTTCCACTTTTATAGAGATATTTAGGAGGAATCAATTCCTGATAGTTGAGGATGCTTAGTTAGAAGTTGATTAGCACCTAAACCATTCTTGGATATGATGTGGTTTCAGTATGAGTTAGCTTTTTATTTTATAAATACCCCAATTAGATTGGATGAGGATAAGAAATAAATCAAGTTTTTCGTTTCTATTATCAGTTTTTCTATGGGAATATGATAGGAAACACTCAACCACAACAGTGAAAATTGCTGTTTGAAAAAACAACAATAACAGAGCAGAAAAACTCAAGAAAAAACAGTAGAAATAGTGAAAAATCTGAGGAAAAACACTTGAAATTCACTAGTAGAAGAAGAAAAATAGCAAGATACAATTGATCCTCTATTTGAGAGGAGGATCTATCTCTCCAAAATCTCTAGATGCCGCTAGAGCCCAAAGAAAACCTAAACCTAAGAGATCTCAAATTTCAGCCAAATTCTAGACGCCCTAACCCTAGGAAAACAAACCATTTAATGCATACAAATCAAAAGGAAATCCCTAAACAGTCAATACATTCAAATTTCCCTCTTAATTCCCCTAAAAAATCCAAAAATCCTTCCTATTTGGCTCCCTTGGAGCTGACGGATTGTGCGGCTCTTCCTAGAGTCGGAAGAGTTCCGCCTCAAATTGCTTAAGCCGGTCCCGTCGGACCGGCTTGACCGGTCTAACAATACTCCCCTCCCAAAGATCCACATTGTCCGCAAGTTGGAAATATGCTCGTGTTCCCGTGGAGGTGGTCATCCTTGAGGTAGCTGAAAAATTTTACTGAATTGCTAAATTAAGGGCTGCACTGAAAGAGAAACATCCCCTCACTCTTCCAATCTGATCACCACCAGTCTGTTTAGTCTGACCAGATAATCTTCCCCCACCTCTTGTATGCTCCTAATCATGATCTTAAGTGATACCATGGATTTGGATAGCCCTGCATCTCTCCTTATAACCACCTTTCTCCCATCTATCATTAATTCCATCATGAGTGCTCCCCAATTTTCCCTGGTTTCCTCGAAGGTTTGCAACCACTTCATCCCCAGGATGACATCAATACTTCCTAATTCTAGTGGGAGAAAATCCTCCCTTGAATCTCTTGGATGGTCAACACCACTCCTTGTCAGAACGGCTGGACTGATCTAATAGAATATTATTATTCAAACATCCACAAGTGCATGCATTGTATTTCTCTATCACTATGCTATCTCTTGGAGATAGACCTCCCAGAACCAACACACGATGGCTTGCTCTTTGACTAAGGCTAAGTACCATGAAATTGCCTTTCTCATTTCAAAATCTTTTGGTTTGCAATCTCTACTTGATGAACCTAGAATTCATCTCCCTCATCAACCTGCTGTTCATAGTGACAATATTTGGGCCATCTCCTTATGTGCAAATCCAGTCTTTCAATTTAGAATGAAACAAATAGCTCTTTTGTTTTTCACTTCATCCAAAAAAAAGTTTGATATGATGCTCTCTGCAACTAATTTGTTGATGCGTCCACTAAACCTCTTTCTCCACAGCATCTCAAGCAACGACTGAAGATTGCTGTCCTCTCCAAGGATTCCACATTGAGCGGATCTGGTATAGAAAAAAAAAAAATCATTGTCTATAATTTTGCGCCTTTCTTATTTTTAACTCTAGTTGTTAATAAGTACATCTCGCATTATTTATCTATCATATTATTATATAGTGAATTGTCGGCAGAAGAATTCTTACTCTTCTCATCAATTCTTATTTCTCGTGCATGAATTAAAAAAAAAAACAAGAAATAGTAGATTTATATTCCCATTCTGTTCTGTCAAATACAATATGCAATGAAACACATACAACTTCCATGCTGCAGATCTGAATTGAGTTTCATTCCTAGGAGAAATTATTTTGTGCGGAGTCCAAAGAGGTAGGTTCAGACTCCAATAAAATATTGACAAGTGGATATTCAATTGGATTTATTTTTTATTTTATATATTTAATGTGTCTGCAAAACTTCAAGTCAAGCGTATTTTACTTAATCAAAGCGCAGTAAAAAAGTGCAACAAAAGAACCGTCACAGTGCAATCAAAGGACAGGTAAAGCACACAAAAAAATGTGCAATCAAAGTGCACTCCACGCGTCAATTTTAAGTGGATGTCCCATATCTCTACGTCCGGACTCCGCACGAAATAATTTCTCCTTTCCTAGGGCCTTCCATTGTCATTCTGAAGTGCAATTTTGAGTTGAGAGGTATCTATCTTCCACCTCATGTAGATAGATAATCATAGAGGTCCTAGTTAGTCTTCTCTCCATCTCAAATAGACCCTGTGGTGATTCCCAGTACTGAAAATTTAATAATCTTTTCTTGAGAACAGACATAAATAGCAAGCAAGAACATTAAATACACACCCAATAATGAAAGAAAAGAAGAAAGAAAGAGAAAAAAAAATTCCATTTTTCATTCAAGCAACTGCTACAATTGCTCATGAGAAGTTAACAGTTGCTTGGTAGCTGAGGCCGACGTTCCAGTTAGAAGGAGCAACATCATAGGCGACGACGGTCTGCTTGGTGGTGTACGAAGTGACTCTAAACGACAGTGCCTGGCCTCCCAAACTGGAGAAGGCTTGGTACGAAGCTCCCCAGTTGTGGCTCATGGCGATCCACCCCGTCTTGCTGCCCTTCACCGCCATCCCGCTTATATCTCCTCCTCCTCCCACATTCATCACGTAAACCAGAAGCCAGTACCCGTTCCCCTGGAACTGAAATCTGAGCCCTCCTTGCTTCACGCAGGGCACCCGGCGGTACATGACCGGGACGATGCCCGCCTTCCAGTTGGCGATCTTCATGAAGGCCGGCTTCGACATGTCGAAGTGAGTTCTCGGAGGATTGCACCATCCTCCATTGTTGGAGTCCTTGGCCCAGTTAGGAGGGCAGAGATTGGTGGCCGTGACGGTCGCGAATGGGGAGCCGCGGAAACAGTACTGCGAGCTGACGCACCGAATCTGGTAACATTCTCCGCACGCATACCCGTTGTTAAACAGCGTCAAGCTCAACGCCGCCGTGTCCGTCCCGTAACCGTTCACAAATAGGTTTCCGTACCCGCACGCTCCACCTGTTTAAATAGAGCGAGAGGAATTTAGAAATAATTATGGGGAGTTTGCGTTTGGACCCACGAGTGTCAATTTCGGGTCATGGTTCACTTTCGGGTTGAATCTGAAACTGACCCGTAGCTATTCGGGTCAAACCCTAAATTGATCCATTTTTGCAAACATGACATTTTTTGATCCGAAACTGACCCGCTTCGGATCCGTATCAACTTAACATGACCCAAATGACCCGGGGCCGTGAAAATTGCTAGTATTTAGGTAAAAAACAGGGCAATCTACACCTTTCGGGTCAAAAATGGGTCAATAACGGATTTTTGGGTTAAAGAGGGTCAATTGCGGGTCAAGGGGTCAACCCGAACTTAATTTTTGAAATTGGTCGAATTGTTCAACCCGAACCCGACTTATTTCGGTTCCGGTTTTACCCTAATCTTGAATTTTCGGGTCGGATTTAGGTCGGATTTTTGGGTCGTGCCAAATATTGACACCCTAGGTCGGTTGATTTTTTTAAAATATATATAATTGAAATTCACAAAAAAAAAGTTCTTGCTCTAAAATTAAAAATTATTATATGCGGACTAGTGTATTAGTATGTATTAGCTGTGTATTGGTGTGTATTAATTATGTATTAGCTAGTGCACATTAGTAATACACAACTAATACATATCAATACACACGAAATACACGAAATACAATATATAGTTATACGTTAGTCCACGCGTAATATTTTCATTGGAGGCCGAACATAACTCTATGCCCTCTACATGTAATAATTTCTACTCAAAGGAAGTCCAGATAATTTGAAGAAGTTAAAAAGAGTAATTTACCCATGGTTTCTGAAGCAGTTTGGTCGCCATAGAAGGTGGCGTGAGCGAGGGACCAAGGGGAGGGCTGGAAGACTGCTCCGGCGGCCGTGGAGGCGAGAAAGAGAAGCAGAAGGAGAGCACAATTAGTATAGAAATCAGCCATTATTGACTGTTTGAGCTCGCGCTAGCCAGCTATATATAAGCTAGCGCTTGCTCGCGCGCTTGGTGCTTTGAGGATCTGTGAGAATGGTTTAGAGAATTCTGATGAGGATAATGAATATATAGAGAGCGGTGGGTATTGCCGGCCGGAGATGAGAAGGTGGGAGGCGTTTGTTATTCGTGCGCGCAGGTTCTTAATTAGTGGTGCGGTCGACGTGCTGGAAGTGAAGGTTTTATTATTCTTACTCGATCTCTTAATCTCTCTCTCTATCAATGCGTAAAGGAAAACAAAAAATTATTATGAAATTGTTCAAAATTTATTCATTTGAATGTTGAGGCTTATTAGGCTTTGTTTGGGACGGCTTTCTTTCTGGTTCTTAAAGCACCTTCATAATACAAAAATTTTAATTTTGATACTAAGAAATTGCTTTAAGAAGCAACAAGAAAGTCGTCCCAAACGAAGCTTTAGTTTGAAACAGCTTTTTAGTTATTTTTTGGTGAGAAAAATAATTAGTAAAAAATAATGTGTCTAAAGATATATTTTTCATCAATTTGTTTTTTTATTTTTTCACTTTAGAATTTATTTAGAAGAGCTTTGTAACTACTTTTGTATTAGAAAAAAATAATAAAAAATAATATTTATTTGGATATTTGTTTATACATAGCTTTTTTAATTTGATCTTCTAAAATTATTTTTTCAAAGTTTTTTTAAAGCTGTGTTTGAAAAATGAGTTTTAAGAGCAAAAACAAATATTAGATGACTCAAACAAAGCCTTAAAAAACTGTTTTTTTTTTTTTTAATATTTTTAAACTGCCCAAACAAAGGTGGAGCATTATTCAAAATTTATAAATTTTTCTTTTTGAAATTTTGTATATGAAAAAACAAATAATTCTAGAAAAATCAGCATTAATTAATTAGTGCTTTCATTAAGAACAGCCAGAGGAATTTAGCAGAAAGCTTCTCTGAACATTTATCCCTCACCTGCTCCATATAATATGAGCAGAACAGCTGAGGTGGCCGAGCTCAGAGATCTCTTTGCAGGAACTCCGTCGACGAACTGTTGAGAGATTCAAAGAGGTGGTGCAGATATTGTAAAATCTTTCTCATTGTTTATGTTCGTTGTGTTAATTAATAAAGTTTTATAGCTTATTTTTTGCCTAACGGAAGATATCTAATTTACTAGTAATATTTTTTTAAAGATATTTTAAAATTTTATTATAATTTATTTGAAGTTGTAATTTATTATTATTATTATTATTTTTTATAATAATAAGGGGAGGCTTGGATTATTAAATACAAAATGAGCATATATCTCCAAAGATAAGATTAGAGAAAGCCGTCTTAAATAGTTTGATCACATAAAATGATAGCTTTTTGATGATCCGGTCAGGAAATAAATGTATTAGATTTGGCTTATGTTAAGAAAAGTAGAGATAGATAAAAAAAGAGTTGGTTAGAAAATATTAGAAATGACATTTTTTTTTATTTGATTTAAATGGGAATTTGACTTTTAATAGAATACAATGAAGAAAAAAGGATTAATGATGGATTTGCGGGATTAATCGAAGAAGTGCGTGAAAGGAGAAAAAGATGACGGCCTTCGCAGCGGGCGAGCTCCTCTTGTTTATTTCGATAGTCTGACGCTGTCGCCTGTCGAAGGAGGTGAAGAAGTTTCTTTAGCGACTCTTTCAAAATACTACTCCACACAAAGCATGCAAAGCCAAAGCTACAAAGATCGGACGTTAAAAGAGGCAAAGGAGCTTCTTTAGCGGAGCTTTCTTAACTTTGCTTTACACGAATCATGTGAAGCTGAAACAACAACGAAGAAATGATCATAAGGAAAAACAAATTATAGATAGGAAGAGGTAGACAAAGATCAAAGAAGAGAAATCATAGAAATAGACAAGTAATAGTAGGAAGAGCATATATATAGCTCATCATGAAGACTCTGATTGAAGTCTCACAAAGATGTAATGATAAAGCATATTTGGCCTAAGAATCAATGGGGCAATGTCGCTCAAGTATTCAAATTAATAACTTGCTTCAAGAGTGATTCGCCACATAGTGTTCAGCAAATTAAAGTGAAGTCGGCCATCAACTTCTCATAGATTGAACCTTAATTGAGCAAATCCATTTGTAATCTTCATGTTTTTTTTTGCAACACTTCTCATGAGTGTTTACACCAAGAAATCTTCGAGTGTTTTCATGCACTTTTTTACTTATATAGCTCAAATGTTTTATTTTCTATATTACTGAGTTTTGACGTAAACTTATATTACTGAAGGGCTTACCAGAGAGTTTTTTTTTTCCTCAGTGGAGTAAGCATTTTAATTAGTTTGTACCATCAATGATAGTTGATTTTGTTGATCAATCGTGTTGTATTGTTGCTTTGGACCTCTAGTTAATTTCTCGTGCTCGTTGGGGGGTTGTGGGGGTCCTCCCCCTGCTTGAGTTTTTTCCTGGACAATACCCCTATGTTGTCTACCTGAGCGCAGAGCGCCTGACACTGTGTAGCCGAGCTCCCGAACGCTGTGTACCAGAGCACCCCAACATATTGTTCCCAATCGTCACATGCTGCAAAGTTTGTTAGGAGAAACGACATAGAGCAAAGCGACAAAGGGCTGTGTTGTGCCGCGACGCTGTAGTTTAGAGCGCCACAACATCATAATGACAGAAGCTTGAACTAGTGCCGCATCACTTCGGGGCGGACTAGACAAATTTTCTTTCTCGTTTTTCTCATGGGTGGCATCCATTTGTGTTATTAATTAGTCTTTCTCTTTTATTTTAAGTGTGAGAATGATGTAAGGGAGTAGAGAAGCAAAGAGAGACAGAGAATAGAGGTCTTTACTTATTTATCCCAATTTTCATAGCGAAGTTCTTACTTCTTAGTATGATGTGGAATTCAGATTTTTTCTGGAATTCAGATTTATTTTTTCTGGAATTCAGATTTTTTCGGATTAAATCTCCATTGCTTCTATTTTCTTGTTTGTTTCATCGTGTGGTTTACTTCCATCCCCAACAATCAATAAATACATTTGCCCAAAACTTTGTTTTTTTTTTTTTACACATTCTAATTTTCCTTTGCCCGCCCTTAAAAGAGAGGCAGTACCTCGCCATCAGAATATCAATTCATTTGTACAAAAATCTTATATTTTTTATGATATAATAAAAATCTCACAGTTTCTTTCTCCCTGAAGATTTTTTTCTCTCCCACTCTCTTATCTTTTTATTTTGCATTTCCTTTTAATAATATTTGATATCAAATATAAATAAATTTGAATCGATAACAACTATTATGAGTCAATGAAAGCTCTCCACTTTATGAAGCAAATATTTAAGATAATATGAATAAGCCTTTTAAGTTTTAACTTCAACTTGCACCATAATTAGCAAGTTTAGCTTTCAAAATGACTCATCACTTATCTCTTCTGTCCATTTCAACCTTTTGCTCTGTCTTCCACTTCTCAAACAAATATCCAATCAATTATGTTTTGAATCTTTATTACTGTATCACTAAATGTCTGATTATCATCATAACACATTCTATCTTTTATCATTATTCTTATAAAGATTACCTTCTTTGGGTCTACTCACAAGAATTCTCACGATTAAGGATTTGTTTGGGGAGAAATTATTACAAGTGGAGTCTGAACGTAGCTCTGCATCTAGACTCCAATGAAATCGTGACACGTGAAATTGTACATACTATGTACAAGCTTGTACATAAAGTATACAACTTCGGGCTTCAATGAAATCATGACACGTGAGTTGTACATAATGTGTACAAGCTTATACACAGCTTGTACATAATGTGTACAACTCCATGTGTCATGATTTTATTAGAATCCACATGCAGAGATATGTTCGGGCTCCTCACGTAATAATTTCTCCTCTTTGAGATGAGTGTAGTATTTTATAAAGTTGGATGTAAAGTTGTTGTGGAGAAAATAATTTCACTATTATAGGCTTTGTTTGGGACGATTTTTTTACTGCTTCTTAAACTATTTTTCTAGTACAAAAATTAAATATTTTGTATTAATAAGCAGCTTTAAGAAGAAATAAGAAAGCCGTCCCAAATGAGTCAGTCACAAAATAAAATAGCTTTTCGTCACAGAAATATTTGAAAAGTAGAGAAAGCAGCAAAAAAATAGTAGTAAAATGAAATTATACTTAGGCATGGTTTGAGGCGGCTTTCTTGTTGCTTCTTAAAAAAGTTTTCTAGTACAAAAATTTTAATTTTTATACTAAAAATTATTTTAAGAAGCAATACATAAGAAAGCTATCCCAAAGCTGTCCCAAACGAGGCCTTAATGTCTTAAAAAACAAAATAGATAAAAAACTGTCCCAAAGAGATCCTAAATCCATATCGTATTTACAATTAATTAGGCCAGATTGAAGCAGTTAACACCACAGGAAAAGTAGCCATTACTGGCAGACTAAATCCACCGGTAACAACAGAAATACGCGGAAAATATATGTTTCCGACAGATTTCCGACCCCGGTAATTATAATTAACTTAAGCTTCCATGGCCCCGAGCCAATACGACCATACACATCGAAAGACAAAATATTATTAATTATATAATTTACAAATTTTACTAGTTAAACTATAAACCTCAATTCATCCGTACCTTCCTCAAATGGCCACTGGATGCTTAATCTGCGATTAAGGAGTCATTAGTGTTGTAATTAAGTAATAATTATTTATTACATGCATCCAACACATCTGGCTTTTGAGGTGAACTAAAACGCAGATGCAGCGGCGATGTTAGAATAATACACTTCGCGTTTGACGCAGTTAATGTTGTTTGGAAGTCAGATAAAAAAGCTATTATTAGAAAACTTTGGTGAAAGCTAATGCTGATTTACATAAAAGATCACTTATTAAGGCCTCGCTCGGGACGGCTTTCATGCTGCTTTTCAAAACTATTTTTTAGTATAAAAATTAAAATTTTAAAATTTTTATATTAAAAATTTGCTTTAAGAATCTTCAAAAAAGCCGCCCCAAGAGAAGCTTAAATGGTTGCAACTTTTTGCTGTAGAAATCAGTAAAAATATTTTAACTAAAATGTTGTTGCAGAAAATCAATAAAAAACTATACCAAATGAATACTTAAGGCTTCGTTTGGGACGGCTTTCTCAATGCTTCTTAAAGTAGCTTTCTAGTTCAAAAAATTTATTTTTTATTCTATAAAGCTGCTTTATGAAGCAGTATGAAAGCAGTCCCTGAAATTATTTTTACTTTTTTTGTTGCAAAGTTTTATATGTTATGTTAAAAAATAAAGATCAAATTGCCCATAAAATTTTAAAAAAAAATTGTAAAATATTTTGCATTGAATGAAAAATAAGTCTACTGTTAATAATTAGAGAAAATCTATTGCATGATCTAAGTAGTGCAATTTATTAACAATTAATGATCTATCTTAAGATACTATTAGAGGGAGATAGATAGGGGCTGAGTTAGAATGATATGATTTCAAGCTATTTTAATGTTAGCTTTAATTTAATCAAACTTATATAGTAGGTTAGAAATTCTCTCTCTCTCTAATAGTATAAAAATTTTTATACTAGAAAACCGTTTTAGAAAGCAATAAGAAAGTTGTCCAAAACAAAATATAAATAATAAAAGATACGAGAATCATTCCTTTCTCATAATTCAAAATGATAGAATTATACACAATTATGAACAACTATTTGATTTTAATTGTACATGCGATTTATAGAAATTGGGTGTGCATAAGTGGACAGTAAAAATCTAACGACATAATTACATGTTATATAATAATCAAGAGATAGTAATCAGGCGGTGGTGATAACTGAAGGTAGTTGTTATCGGTGTTGCTGCAAAATATAATAGAATTCCTTAGCTCTGAATCCCCCTCTACAAGCATAAATTTACTCATCTCATTGAGATTTTGTTTGGACCGACTTTCTTTCTGCTTCTTAAAGCAGATTTTCAGTAAAAAAAAAAAATTTCGTAACATAAAAGATGTTTTAAAAAATAGTATGAATATATATGATAATCAACTAACAATTCTAAAAATCAAAATTCTATCCCTTCTTTAGTTGGTACAATTTTTTTATTAAAATATTGTTGTAAAAAATAAATTTTTAACTTAAAAATATTTGTATGCCGTACAAAAAATGAAAAAAAATTAAAATTATATTTAATAATTTCAAAAGCTACGTAAAAAATTTTATACAAGTCTTAATTTTAATGCTTTTTATAATATTTGAATAAAATAAGTTAAAAAATTTTTATTTTACTTCTACGAAGTTGACAAAGACACTCAAGAATACTTGAAAAATACCTTTTACAAGAAGTAATAATGTGCTGATTGCTACAGAAATTGTTAGGAAAAGTTTGAATAAAATATTACTTTTATTAACAATAATAATTAAATGATAACAAACAAAATGAAATAGTTAAGAACGATCAATAAAGAAACTTCACATAAATGGAAAGTTTTCATTGGAAGGGGCCTTCAACTGCTAAGCAAAGTAACAAATTACTTCACATTACAACGATCAAGCTGAACATAGAAGAAAAAAGTTCTCATTGACCAGCTTTCCAGAAAAAAATATCCAAGATAACTGTTCATACATCAAACATAGAAGAAAAAAAAGTTTTCATTGAGTAGCTTTCCAAAAAAAAAAAAGAAAATCTTTCAATCAAGCTTTCTTAAGGTTAACTAAAGAACAGAGCTTTTTTGTCGGTAAATTTAATGTACAGATAATATGAAAATATTTAAAAATAAAGTCCATTAATTGATGTGTATGCTCTGTAAACAAATAACCTTTGGCCACAAACTCACGAATCATTTTGATTTCAGACATAATTTTTTTACAAAGCATACTCGTGGCATAAAACTTCAATGAAAGAAGCAAGCCTACACGTTTACGATTCACAAGCTTTGAAAATCTACTACAGTTGGCCTGAAGAAGCTTGCCATATTTACTAAAAAAAAAAATAATACAGCTATTCACATATATATACATCAACATATGATTCACGAACTTAATGAAATAAAACTGAACATGCTATCAAACATATGAAACTTCCTAATTCATCTCATCCATCAATGCATCTGTGATTTTCTCTCGTAACTGGACCATCTCCTCTGCTCCTTCACCATCTCGTATCTGCCGAATAAAATCATTCCCTTCTGTCTCTACTACTGATTGCCCAATTCTATACTCATATGCCTCATCTGGTATATATGTTCCGTCCGCATCACATATATTGAAATCAGGGTCTTCCCGACTAGAATGTCGACGTATGTAGTTATGCAATGCCATGGTTGCTATCACAATTTTTATTTGTTTTTTGAATGAATATGTAGGCATATCTCGTAGTATGACCCACTTCTTCTTCCAAACACCAAATGATCTCTCAATTACACCTCTTAAGGAAGAGTGTCGCTTGTTAAAAGTTTCTTTCCTCCCACGAACTAATTGGCTTCCTCTTTCAAAATCAGGGATATGATATTTGGTATCTGGAAATGGCTTCAAAAATCCCCGTTGCATCGGATAACCAGCATCAACAACATAATATTTTCCTATTATAAAGTACATGTACTTTAGTATAAGTTCTTTTACTACTAACGTTACAACTATATAGAACGTACCAGGAGGTGGCATGGGAAAGTTATGACGACTATTACGAGTTGCAAATTTAAATATGCGACTATCATGTGCACTTCCTTCCCATCCTGCCATGATAAAAGTGAAACACATGTTGAAATCACATACAGCCATAACATTTTGCGTTGTTGACCCACATCTTCCTATATAAGCAGCTTTCTCAGCATTCGAAACACGAGCATCCACATGTGTTCCATCGATTGCTCCAATACAGTCCTATTTAAGAAGTAATGATTAGATATTATAGTCATTTAAACATTCTTATAATATGATATTTAAAAAATTTACCTTGAAATATGGCATATATCGATGATCATACAAAATATTCCTAGGGATATCACCAAATTGAGGATCGATAGGCTTGATCACAGAACATGATAATTTCACCAAAGCCTCCAATCCAATAGAGAAATACCTACTGATTGTCTCAGAAGAGTGTTGAAACCGCTCACATGTGGACCTTATTGATTCATTATGTGATAAAATATATAAAGTCATCGCAAGTACTTCTCTGCTTGTTGTCCTTGATGATCCATGGAGATGATGAACACATTCCAATTCATACAGTAGATCTAAAAAAATTGTTTGAGACATACGAAACATATTATGAAACCTCGTTGGATGACCTTGTAGTAGCTCTCCAATCCATTTGTCTCCTCTAGATGACGATGTCATACACGGTGTCTTGCAAATATATGTTTCATAATACTCATTTATAACACATATTGCCGCAAGTATAGTCTTTTTAATATTTGCAGTATCGGCTGACTCACTTAAATTCTCATTACATTCCATTCCTGCATATAGAATATATAACAAGAGAAGTTGCAAATATTAAACAAGAGCAGTTGCAAATATAAAACAAGAGCAGTTGCAAACAAGGAATGAAGAAAGCTTATCCGCAATGATATATCTACAGGTTTTGGTCAAATATGCAGTAGAAAAATAAAACACTGCTGAAGTTAAAAGCTTCTAAAGAAGCTAATTCTTAATCCGTTCAAATTTATCCTGAAATTAGCCAAGTTCTGCATCCATGGTGCGTTCAATAGTTCTCACAGCATATAAGCAAAGTTCTCCACACATCTGCATCTTCATTAATATATTCTTTGCAAAGATGAAGAGCTTTTTCAGTAAGGCAGTTGATGCAGTAAAATATAGTCGGAATTCCAAATGAATATGATAATTCTGCCTTGATAAAGGATATAACAAAAAAAGATTGTTTCACACTAACATAATTAGGTAAGAGATACATATTATAGTGGGCCTTGCCTTATCTATTCCTTCCATTCATTTTTCACGTAAGCAAGTCCTGAAGGAAGTTTGGCAAAGTGACCTCAAGACCGCAGAAAAATTCGGTATAGTGCTAAACGCACTGTAGCAGAATTCGGAAGAATTCTCTGTTTCACACTAACATAACAAAACCAAAGGCTTTTTTTTTTCCCTCTAACACAAAGATCTCTGTTGAGTACAAGCCAAAAACCATCATTTAACAAAAAGTTCACATAAAACCAACACTCCTGTCCCAGCAATGCTGCAATTATTTAAATGTTAGAAGTTGCAGGTCATGTTATCTGACAGTACTAGCAAAAATTCCATAAGGAAAAGTGAAGAAGATCATTTGAGATCAGTAACACAAACACGAAGCTCATTATGTAAGCAGGCTACACTATCCTAGATCAATGTACTGCAGATCTGTTCAAGTACATTAGAAGCAAAGTAGGAAGCTAAGAGCCTCAACCAGGAAGAATGTTAATCTTCAGGGCTGCAACATCGGAATAACCGAGTTGGGTCACCCACGTTTTGATATCTCTTGAATGCTCAATAAATAAAATATCATTTACTAAAATATGGGATCAAATGTGTTCTTTCAATTGTTGTAGTAAAAAAAATATTATAAATTGTTCAGAACAACACAATCAAAATACAAAAGTAATGTATAAAACACATTTACTAAACTAATGTTTTTAAAGAAACATAAAAACATGTGTCTGGATCCTTATCATTATCATGTTGGAGTAAATCAATTTCGTCTTCATCACAAACTTATCACGTACTAAGGATATGATTCCCTCATCAATAAATCAATCCCATTTTTTGTGTCTTTTAGCTTTGAAATGCAACAAATTTATCAGCCCTATAGCTTTGAATGGCAATGAATTTAATAACCTTACCTAATGGCTGGCAACTTAGGTTCGTGACTGACTTCGATAACAATGAAAATTAATTTTGTTGTGTGTAATGGATGTATACATGTAGTTAATATGAAAGTTATTATACAGTCCATCTAAAAGAGGTTAAGCTAGGTGGAGAATTTCAAATTATATGAGATAAATATATGGCCGCATTTCAGGATTGCTTCATTGTGGATCAGAATTTATTATTTCTGATACATTGCAGACATCTTGTGTAGAATCAGTCCTAATCAATATAAAACATTTCTCTCATAAACTAAACCTTTCATCCTAATATATGGTTTTTGATCCAGGTATCAAGCATTTACCAGAAATTTCTTTAGGAACAAAGTAATTGAGTAAGAAAAAAACATGTATTCTGATTATGTAAGAAGATTGTGCCATCTTTTTATAAAAAAAAATTCCATGTGAAAGGGCAAAAGAACGGATACCTCACAGTGGGGAAAATCCCTTGCTTAACTCCCGATCCGAAAAAACAAGATCTTGTCGAGGGTGACGGAGAGGACCGCCTAGGGCTTCGGGTATGATAGTTTAAGGAAGGAAGAAAGGTCGCGCAGCAGCGGGGCAGGGTCGCGCGGGGCATGGTCGAGCGGCAGCGTTGCGGGGTTGCGATGGGGGTGGTCGCGCAGCAGCGGGACGTGGTTACGCGACAACGGGGCGGGCAGGTCCGCGAGTTAGGTTAAAACGGGTTTCCGGGTTGACCCGTCAACCCATCGAGTCAACCCGAACCTGACCCATTTTTCAAATGGGTCGAATCCGGGAACCCAAAACGGGTCGGGTCTAACCCAAAAATTCCGGGTCGGATTTGTGTAGTGTCAAATATTGACACCCCTAGTCTCAAACGAAGCTTGAGACTCCAATTCTTTATCATAAGAGAGTAATTCCACAATCTTATGTAGTCGGCATATAATTTCTCATTTGCAAGCTCCAATAAAACTATCATAGATAAAGGTGAATATGAAAGGAATAAATGAGAACTAAAATATAGCCCTCCATCAACTAAAATGCAGCCGTGGTCCAATTATTCTTTGAAGACAAACAATCTACGTACGCATGAGAAAAGCAAGCTTAATTTCCTGAATATATTCAAAGGCCAGAAGATTCTTATTGACAAATATTGTTCGAGGGAGGAAACTTCTCCATTTCAAACAATGAAAGTGAGGACAAAATTAATATGGTAATCTTCTGGAGATTGCATGAGCCAAAAACATTGAATGTCTCACCTAATAATATCTTGCATAATAATGACGTTTATTTGGAACTTTATGATTAGATAAATATTCTATAAATACATAAATACAACTTAGATAAAATGCATCATCTATTATGATTTGATTGAGGTTTTGTTTGGGACAGCTTGTTTACTTTTTTTTTTTTCAGATCATAATCATAATTTCTGTTTGATCATAATTTTTCGTTACTTAAAAAAAAATTTATATGATATATCTTTGTCATCAATATCATCCTATCGAAAAATATGTTGGCCAATATGAAGGGTGAATACTTTAGGATGAATATATGCCATCATCATCGATCATATTTTTTATTATTCAAATACATGATCTAACTTAGTAAATTACCTTTTATTAAAAACATGCATTATGATGATATTAATAATGTTTTTAATAATTGAGTTTTAACTCTCAAATAGTGTTGCATGTAACTCTTTATAATTTAGTTTTATTTTTCATATACAAAATATTTGCTCAATGAAACTCTTAATGATTTATACATTGTCATGACATCAAAAAAAGACTTTTTTCTCTCAAATAATTAGTATGGCATGCCCCTTGGTATAATCTTATTTTATTTTTCATATATATAATTTTTGCTTAAATTTATGCATGGCATAATCTATTAATGCATGCTATAGTTATGAGAAAATGATATTATTTTTAATAAATAATATATTCTAATTGAATAGTTTTAAGTAAGCTAGACTAAATAATTTTCATATAATTTTTTTTTGTATCTCTTACACCTTTGAGAGATTCTCTCAATTTGACCATAGAGTACATAATTTTCATTCAATTCTTAGATTATATAAATGCTATATTTCTATACCGCAAATATTTCAATGCATAATAGATACATTATAATCTCTAATTTCTCTCTTAGAATATATTTGGAATGGCTACAACTTTTTATAAAGATAATTGTAAAAATGGAATGTAGAAATCAACTTTTTTGAAAGCAGCTTCGTATTATATTTTTTTCCTCTAAAAATAGCAAAAAATGAAGATTAAGGCTTCGTTTGGGACGGCTTTTTTGTTGCTTCTTGAAGCAGCTTTCTAGTACAAAAAATTTAATTATTGAACTAGAAAGCTGTTTTAAGAAGTAGCAAGAAAGCCGCCCCAAACGAAGCCTAAAATAAAAACTGTGATTGCGATTTGAAAAATAAAGCAGTAAGACAGTTGTTCAAACAAAATCTTAGTCAAGAACAAGAGTTTTAAATCTCAATTAGTTATATATATTTTGCTAAGGGCTATAAGCAAAAGATAATATTCTTTCCAAGAATTCTACTTTTAGGCTTTCTTTATTATTATTATTTTTTTCATTTTTAAAATTCAAACATCTGACTTGATGATCAAAGGCCCTCCTAAACTCTTTAGAAAAAAAAAAAGGAAGGGTGCAAAACATGCCTAAGGAACGAACTTTTATTTTATCCAGTGAACGTACGCAGAGGAAGGTTCGGTTTTAGGCAAAAAAGCGCCTGTACCGAGTTTTTTAAAAATCGGTACATGCGCGAAAAACTCGGTAAAGGCACTTTTTTGCCTAAAACCGAACCTTCCTCTGCGTACGTTCACTGGATAGAATAAAAGTTCCTAAGGAACATACTATCAAATCGTCAAAAACATGGTGAGTAATTTCAACCTACAATAATTTTCAATTAAAGAAAAAAGGAAACGAAGAAGAAATGTGATCAGAAGCAAACAACACTAACTAAGAGGTCCAAGGTTCGAGTCCATGTGTATGCGTTGTGTGTGTGAGTTTGTCTTAAATGACCTAAATGTCCCAAAAAAAAAAAAAAACAACACTAGCTATCACAATACGCGGCTTATATCTATTCGTCGCACAAATGGCCTGCCCTGCTTTGCCCAACGGAGCTGATCTCTACCATGACAGAAGCTTCTGCGGGGCCCGGATTCCGTCAATCTCCACCAACGTCGGCGACTATGACTAGGATCAGACGTCCTTGACTCCAAAAGTTACGCCTTTCACGCGGCCGCCGAGCCGTTGATGAAATGCAGAAGAAAATTCGCACCCAACCGCTGCACTTCCTTCCTCATTTATCACCCCCTTCACTTGCCGCCGTCTCATCTCCCATCGATGCCCACGCGGCCCATAACAGCATCTTCCTCGATTCGATTCACCTGCTCGGGGAAGAAAAACTGCAATGAATTCGAAAAAGGAGAGATTTTGGAGCCGTGCTTGGAGAGGTGTCAAGATCCTTTTTTTCGTCGCCAACATGCTCGCCTCTCTTTTCCTCGTCTGCGCCCCTCCTCTTCTCGTCGTTGTCATCGACCTCCTCCTCCCCTCAGCCCTCCTATCCGCCGCCGGCGACGGGTCAGTGTTCTCCGTCGAGGCTCTCGCCTCCCAACTTAGAAGCTACCGGTACCGAGCTTCCCTCGTCGACTTGCCTCTTATATCTGCAACACGATCAATCGTTATCCTGTGTAAGCATCGGAGCGGCTGCGTTGATTGCTAGCTGTTCGATGAATTGTCCCTAAGGAAATTTTGTTTTGCTTTCGCAGGCTTCTATTTGTGGTGTGGTGGGCGCGGGCTATATCTTGGAGTGGCGACCCTCTGTGCATCGGCTTCTGCAGCGTTTGTGTCAATGAAAGCGATAATTATGCTCGGAGCTGACGCAGTGCCGGGGAAAAGGCACTTGCTTTCATTTGGGGAGAAGGAAGGGCCTGCAGTGCAAGCCCTGTTCTTGAGCTCCTTGGCTCTAGCCATGGCTCATGTAGTGGCTGCTTATAGGATCAGTTGTAGAGAGAGACGAAAGCTACTTGTGCACAAGATTGATATTGAGGCGGTATGATATCAACTGAACCGCTTTTCTTCCTTTCTCAGTTTTTGGATTTTACCTTTAGAATTTTGATAGATGTTTTAAAGTTTTTTTCTGTTTTCTGTGTCGTTTTACTATATTTCAGAGCAATCACAATATAGGAAATTTAGAGGGGTCTTCTTACCGGTCTTTTGCTGAACTTGGAGTTGAAAGATAAGAGGAGAAAGCCCAAAAAGAAAAATTGAGAAAGAACTTTTTGCAGGATTCATAGGGGTAATTTAGAGCTCAGAAATCTAATCATATAACATACAGAAGAGATTGAGTGCCCCATTCAATGTTATTTTGTTTGTGTAGGCATTCTTATTGAAAACTATGAATTTTCTTTACATAGTTCAGAATAAACTAAAACCCTTAAACTTAATTGGGATTCTTATTTGCAAATTTGATGGTGTGTTCTTAGGGACTGTTTGGCAGTAAGTAGGATTTAGTCAATCATGCAAATCCAGATTCAGCCCAATTCTAAAAATATCAAAAACTTGAAACTATTTGGCATGATAATTGATAAATTTTGTTAGACTTTTTAACTATTTGTTCCAGAATTTAAGATTTGTGAGAATGAGAAATCTGTAAATCCTTTGAATGGTAGGATTTATAAAATTTTGGGTTTAGCCAATAATAGACTGAAACTGGATTCATCAACAAAGTAGGATTTTAAGTCCAAAAAATTGATTTGGCGTAAATTCAGCTGAATCTTGCTTAAAATTTGCTCAAAATGGAATACTAAACAGCCCCTGTTAGTGAATCTGAGCTTCATTTCAATTGAGAATTCGTCTATATAATCTCTGACCAAAAAAAAAATTTTTTTCTGATGCAGGTATCTGCTTATAAGAGTGAGTTCTCCAACTACCATAAGATTGTGCTTAGCGAGTAAATCATGGTGGCATCGTTGAGATGCAAACATTGTATCCTCTTGCCACCATTGTTGTCTGGACTTTCAGGTAGGATTTCAAAATTCAGTCAATCTCTTGCCGTTTATCTTAATTTTTTTTATTTTTCATTTTCAGATTGCTTATCAAGTCTTGCACCACTTCTATTCAGAATACATGGAAACATTATGTTTTCTATACCACTTACCATAATTCTATCAAGCAAAACTTCTGCACCATTTTTTATTGAACCTCTCTTCAATATCATCTTTTTATGACATGAACAATAAATTAAGGGCAGATAGACTGATCAAATTACAGTTTCTCATTTAGAAACCTAAATGCGCTCTGTATCACAGGATAAACCGTTTAATTGAGGGCTCGTTTGTTTGTCCGTTTTTACTGTTTTTTTTTTCGTTCTAGCAACAATAAAGCATAAAAATTTTAGTTGTTTGATAAAACTACTTTTCTTAACCACGTTCTGAATATCGTTGTTTTTGTACTGTTTTCAAAAGCTTTCTAATATTAACTTCTCCGCTAGAGAACGGAAAACTCCGTTCTCTCAAACAATAGTTTTAAAACTACCTTTCAGAAAAGGTACAAAATAACTGGACGAAGTCTAAGTGTCATTACACTTAAATGATCAGTTTTTAGTGAGCAAGTATGTAACAATGCCTAGATGACTTTCATATTAACCTAGAGATTATGAGTTTGAAGCATAAGAACATTCTCTCAGTCATACAAAGATAAATAAACCTTCAAGCGTGTGACTCAAACTTAAATGCTATTTTGCTCATTTTTTAACAGGTAAAAGTGCACTGAGGTCAGGCAACAAGAGCGAAAGAAATGCTGAGTTCTCATCATCATTGATCTATATAAGAAGGATCCATGGCGCTGTATGTAAATTCTATAGGAAAAACATAGTTTCAGAGAAGATGGATGTAAATATGTGAGTTGGGGAAGTAGACTTCTCTAACTACAGTTAGAATGTAATATTAGATTGTATAGTTTTCAAATTCTAGCCATTCAATCCATTTTTGGATGATTAGAATCAATCATAGTCATCCAAAATGAATTAGAAGGCTGTGATTAGAGCACTTTATCCTCCATTTAACCATGATAATGGGAGAGGATCTAAATTTAGTGATTTGGTGAAGTGTATATATACATGTATTTCATTTCGAAATAAGTGTTTATCGATTATGCTAAAATAGCCTTGTTTTGAGGAAAAGTTAGAGGTTTTATTGGAATAATTTGTATTATGATGAGTTTGATAATTATTGAATTTATTTTATGATTAGTGCGATACAAATTATTCATATGTCACATTCATCTCAAAGTAAATCTAACGATTCCCAAATCCATCATAATACAATTTTATTAATTAAAAATATTTGTTTGATTTTTAAGCGATGAACCCATTCTAGAATCTTCCATTTTAGATTATTAGTCAATTTGGTATTAATTTCTCATTCAACATAATGATCATATAAATATAAATGCAATCGAATAAGATTTGCCTTCTAAAATCTTTTAGGTGAGGGATTGAAAGGGGTAGTTGGTATTACTTTTCAAGATTATTATCTATTTGATGGAAGATGACTTGGTTTATCTTGAGATCTTTTTTAATGATAAAGTTATTGAAGATAAAATTTTTATAATACTAAACAAATATAGGCCTAATCTATTTGTCAACTTGCAAAAAAAGGGGGGTTTTCTAACATTATTGTTCTATTGTAATTGACATAAGAACAACATTGTTCATTCTACAATCTGATTGAATTCTAATAATGGAGTGATTAAATAGTAATTATTAACACTAACCCATCTTTTAATTAAAAAGAGGGGTTGTCAATGATGACTTTATATTCTTTAATCAAATCTTTTTAGGTTTAGCTCGATCAGATATAATACATCTACTCACTTAATTGGATCATCAGAAGTTTGGTGTTTCATTCGAATGGATCTGAATGCCAATTTCAATGAATTGATAATCGAATCAAACATCCCGACGGGGCTGACGAACCAAAAGACACTAAAATTGGCTACTTATTTGACAGGAATACATCTGAATACTCCTCAAATTCATTTGCTCGAAAGATTTTGAGAACTTAGGATCTCCGTATTGGATAATTCTCTAATCTGAGTTGAATATGAATAATATTTTTGATATTTGACATCAAGAAGGTATAAAGACACCACCCATTTGCAGAAGAAGACTTTCTCCATCAGTGATTTTGTTGGTAGGGGAGATAACTGAGGGATCCATGCCGCAAGGTGAAGCTTGCTGGGTAGACGAAATTGATGGGAGTGGGCCCTTAATGGGCCAGCTTAGTTTTCCTAAACTAGTCTTGGCTTAACCAGGCTTTGTTTGTAAGCCTACTTAAGCCTGAGTTAAGCAAAGACTAATCTTCACGATACGTTTTGGATAATCTTATGCTTTATTTGGACAGCTTTTTTTATTATAGATAAAGTAATTTTTTTGAAGTTATTGTAGAAAGTAGCTTTCAAATACAAATTTTTTTTTGGAAGCAACGAAAAAAATAACGATCAAGTAGAAATTATGGTTGCAGCTTGAAAAGCTGAGCAGAAAAAAGGTGCCCCAAACGACGTCTTAGACTTCGTTTGGGATAGTTTTTTATTGATTCATTCTTCAAACCATAATCATAATTATTTATTTATCAATTATTTTCAAGAAATTTTTGTAAGAAGAAACTACTTTCAACAACTTTTTAAAAAGTTACTTTCTGCATAGCAGTCTTATAACCACATTTTTAAAAATTTATTGCCATCCCAAGTGGAACCTTAATTCATTGGTAATTAAGGCACACATGCTTCACATACGTAAGATTCAAATCCAAGACCTCTTGCAAAGCTACAACCGCGATCATCACGGAAAATTATTACATCTGGTGTCCGGTTCGTCCGGACACCAATCAAGAAGCACCATGTCACCCAGAAACATTCGGGGCCTAGTGTATACGGGTGACATGACGCGTCTGGATTGATGTCCGGACGGTCTAGTGACCGGACGTAATAATTCGCCGATCATCACAGACAAAATAAAGATTAAAACAAAAGTGATCTCAAATAAGCGACTTCGGTTGAGATTTACGTTCTTCAATGATATTCTATAATTTTTAAGTAATTAATTAGGTTGATTTCTATTTCTTTGAATATTTATTATTTGATTATATTCATAAAGTGTTATTTCCAACATTATTTAATTTTATGGAAGTTTATAGTAGCTTTATAATTTTTTTATTTGAGTCTGGCTTGGCTCGAACCTGATGTTTTAGATATTTGATTGTACATCTTGTTCATAAAAATACTCAAAAGGTTGCTTAATTATGAATAATAAGTACTGGATGAGCATTGGTGGCTATTTTTAGGCTTTGTTTGTGATAGATTTTTTGATGCTTTATAAAATAGTTTTTTTTTAATTAAAAAAATTTTAGTTGAAAAAATTTTTGCATTAAAAATATTATTTTAGAAATAATAAAAAATCTGTCCCAAACAAAGCCTTAGTTTTAAGTAATTGAGTAAAATATACATCATGTACATGAAAAATTAGTCAATATCTCACCAACTTTATATTTTGGAGAAATAGTTCACCAATTCGCTAAAAATTTTCATCAATATTAATATCTAATATTCTTAGAAATTATTGCAATTTTAATAATTGCTTTCATTGTAATATTTATTGTAACATTTGATAATAGTTTTCTATTATTTCCAACCTATGATGCAATGATATCTATTGAATTAATTTATTTGTTAGCTTTTTTAATAATTTATTTCTTATGTTATTTTCTAATAAATTTCAATTAACTCATTTAATTTATTTTAATAATTATAATTTTTAAATATTTATTTATTACATAAATTCTCATTTTTCCGCACTGCGGCACTGTGCAAGCTGATCCTATTTTTTATTTAACAAAAAGAAAATGACATTAAAGGAAAGAAAGATACACCACAAGACCCCGACCAGATCACCTCAATAGAGCCACTATCAACAAAAAACCAAAATCACAATCGGATCAACATAGACTCAAACCGACACCAAGTTGCAAAGGAGGGCCATCCAGTGTGGATCCAAAAAAAGCATCAGTAGGCCACTACAGTTGCCCAACCCTGGCCATCACAAGTGCATGTAGAATAATTGCTTCCTCATCTTCCAAATCCAAGCTAACGAAGGTAGTCGAAACCATAAAGTAACCAAAAGGGCCCAATAAATCATTTATTTTTTAGACTTGTGTTTACAGTGTCTAATAAGAGTATCCAGCAACCCAGTTTCCAAACCACCATCAAAAGTATCCTCCCCTTCAGACAACAAATCATCTTGTAACCAATCATATTGTCACCAGACATTGTTCCTAACTAGATGGGCTTGTAAATTAGCGTTTGAAATAACCGAAATAGGCACCTCTACAAGCGGAGTCACACCAACCCACAGACAATGAACCACACTAACCCCCCCTGAGTTAACATCACCACCATCAGTAGAAGAAACCGAGATAGCATCCAAAAACTCCACACTAACATTAATTAAAGGACTAGCTATAGAATTAACACCGCAATGAGGAACAATTAAATTCACACAGTTAGGGGCCGCAAACAGAGGGTCCCCACCCACAACAACATCACAAGCCGGTGGCCACCCGACAATTCACAGAAATAGAAACAGGGGCAACAGCGGAATTGACTGGTCCAACCGGAGTAGAAATAGCGGCAACATCAGCATCAATAATAACCAAATCACCCATAGAATTAACAGACAAAGGGACAGGAGAAACAAACACCTGAATCTCCAAGTCATCAATAGGAGGAACATGCTGTAAGACAATAAGGGACAAAACAACAACAATTTCCTCTAATTTACCAACATTAAAATCCAAAACCTGCTCAGCATTCTCTGCCACAGAGGGGACAACAACATTCTCAAAAGATGAGGGGATTAAATTCAAACTTGGTTTAGAGGCAGCATTAGGCAAATCAGTCGAAAGAGGAGGACGACATTTCCCAGACACATGCCCAATACACTTACAAGACGCACAAAAGGAGGGGAATTCATCCAAAACAACCTCTTGCACATACCCTAAATTCTCAGAACATAACCAAACTTGACTTGGATATGATTTAGTTATATCAAGCTCCACTAAAACATGAGCAATAGATGGTCGGGATCCCACAACAGTAGCCTCATCAATTTTCAAAGGTTTCCCAAAAATAGCACCCAACCCATGAAGAACACGAGGGGTGTACAAATGGGGACGAAGATGCGAAAAAGAGATCCAAATCGGTATGATAGGCAACTCAACACCAATGTCCAAGCATGGAGACCATTTCGTTAGTTTCATATAACAGTTGAAAACAAGATAGGATCTATGACAAAATACCCTACAATAGTCAAGATCATTTGCTAATTTGATCAGAATATGCGAAGGATCAAGCAAGGTGATAGATACTTCACCGTTTAGCTTTAGGTTAAAGAAAAACTTGCGAATGGAATCAAGAGAAGGCCGCTTAGAATGGAAGAATCCAACTAAGGAAAATTGAAAAGTGATAGCTAACTCCTTGATTTCTTGGTCGGAAATCCAAAGAGAGGGCAAGCCACGAAACGTAGATGTCCGTAAATCTGGAAAAGAAGAAATCGAAGAAGAGTCATCAAGCGCTTCCAAAAATGAGCGCGAGTGAGACAAACCCCCTAAAAAATCAGGGTCACACAACTTATTCAGTGCCATACCGGCAACCGCCGGAGAAAAACCAAAAAAATCGAGAAATCACCAAAACAAGTATAAAACAAAGAGAAGAAAAGAGCTTCCCTAAAATCCACGAGAGCACCGGCGCAGAGGCCCCAACATGGCGAGGGAGAACCCCGGCACGGCCCAAGGAAAGAAACCCTAGCAGAGGGAACCGAGGGAGAGAGCAAAATAGGGAGTGACTACCTGATCGATAGCTACTATGTTCTGCCTCCTTCACGTTCATTTTGTCTTTCTATGGATCATATTTAAATTTGAAAACATTAATTCTGAAATGAAATCCAAAATCCATTGAATGTTATTCAAAATAAACTAAATGGCTCCGTTTATATAAGTCAACATAAAACAAATATGTTATGGGTAGAAAAAAAAAGGGGGTTTTAAAGCTTTTTCATGCCTATGAGCACCTGAGACTAATTTAGAAAGCAGTCATAATGAATGATGCTAAGGAAATGAAAGTAACAAAAGAAATTTGATAAAAATGTGTCCATAAAGAAGTCAAACCAAATGTAGGAAGAAAGAGTGGCCTTATGAGCTTGCAATCTTTCAATATTTTTGCTTCCATGCTTAGCGTGGTTGACCCTATCAACAAAGAACTTGGGCTTCATTTGAGAAAATTTTTTTACTACTTTCTATTGCAATTTTTTGGCACAAACAAATTTTTTTTTCTCAAAAATTTTTAAACTAAAAAGCTATTTTATAAAAGCTGTCCCAAACGAATCCATAATTTTAAACTTTTCATTTAGGCTTCGTTTGGGACAGCTTTCTACTTGCTTTCTAAAACAACTTTCAAGTACAAAAATTTTTTAAATTTGAAAATTTTGCACTAGACTGTCATTTTAGAAAGCAATACGAAAGTTGTCCCAAACGAAGCCTTAGTTTCTAATGAATATGATGGAAGAGGGGGTAGTTATGTTTTGTATCAGTTTTAGGCTTCGCTTGGGACAACTATCTTATTGCTTTCTAAAGCAACTTTCTATTCAAAAAATTTTCTAATTAATAAACTGTTTTAGAAAGCAGTAAAAAAGCTGTCTCAAACAAAGCCTTATTTTTATGCCAAAAGCACAATTAAAGCAAGATTTCATCATATTTGTATAAATTTATTATTACAATCATGAAAACCAATACAAGTAAACAGTTCCTGCAAAGAATTACATCTACCTATTAACATTCAAGCAGGAGAAACACCTGCTTATAATACATACATGACCAGTTAATAACTTTTAACACAATAAAATTCTTTTAAAGTCCCAAACTAAACCTAATTCCTCCACAACTCCAAATGTATTAAGCTTTGTGATCAAAGGGCTTTGAGCTGTCTAAGGTTTATGGGAGATATGTACTTAGTGTCTCCATCAACAAGATACTTTCCGATTATCAAATTTGCAGCTTCGCTAGGGTGATACGGATCCCAAAACACGTATTCCGATCGATTATCGCACATCGACGACGTCGGCCCGCACGGAATAAGTCCCGCGAATCGCCCTCCGTTCCCGCAACACGCAGAGCTCGAAGTCGTGAATCCTTCGAATCAACAACAAAACATATGTGAATCATTTCATAATTCCAAAGCTTAAGATCCAAAAGGAAAAAATTGGCTGATTGTGCTTACCATATCTTTTATAATTTGTGATGATTTCGAAGACTAAATCATATACATTTGCAAGGCAAAATTTGGCTCCGGGGAGGTTGTCATTTAGCTCAGAAAGTAAGTCTCTTAAGCGGACATTGTAAGTTCTTGCGAGTTCATTGGGTAGGCTAACACATTCTGTCTCTGTGAGCCTGTTGATGCTTCTCTGATACGGAATACAGCCAATGGGTCCAACGTTGGCTACCACAAATTTCCGAGCGTCCAATGAATATAGTCTCTGGTTTAGAAAGAAAGAAAATACAATTTTAGTTTGAAATTTCAATAAATTAATGTTAATGATATTTTTATACAATTTAAATATTTAATTATTACATACATCAATATAAAGATTTAGTTGTTTAATGTAGAAATTGTTATTTTTTGGTGGAATCTGATTGTATCGATAGACAGGATTGTATTGTTGACTTAGACCTCAATTACGTCAGTCGAGCTCGTCGGGTGTTGCAGTGGGCACCTCCCCTTGATTTAAGTTTAAGGCCTCACCCTCAAAAATCTTTTTTTTTTTCTCTACAACTCTACAAAGCTCCAGCGCTGCACTTGTGCAAGTTGGAGATAGAGAGTGGAACGCCGCGATGCTTCAAACCCCAGCTCTACAGCACTGTCAATCAAGTTGAAGACAGAGAGTGGATCATTGCGACGCTCCAAACCCCAGCGTCGCAGTACTGCGAGTCGGGCTTTGTAGTTTTCTTTCTCATTTTTTCATATTTAACTTGAATGTTTGCATCCCTTGGGGTGATTTATATAAGTATCTTTGTAAGATCTGTGGAGAACGCGTGTGATGTTTATTCAAAATATAAATACATAAAATTTTATGATAATAATATAAATCCTTCAAAAAATATGAATAAGAAAGTGATTTGTTCAAGCTGAAGTAATGAGTCAAAGCTAGCTCGAATATATCAAAGGGGGATCTTACAGGGTAGGGGTTGTGAACATAATTAAAATAATGCAATGCAAAATTTAAATTTTAAATAAATTTGCTCCAACCTCCCTCCCAATATCAAAATTATGCACCTACCCTTGGCTCTAAACAAGATCAACTCATCAAAGTTCCTATTTAGGATGAATTATTCCCGTCCGATTTGTCTTTGTGAACAGTAAAAACACAGTGAAGCTGCACTTTTATTGTTCATTCTGCGCTTTTATTGTTCACAGAGATAAAACCAGACGATTTTTTCCTATTTGGTGTCCACACAGAATAGTCTCTCTCTATTCAGACTATCCCATTGCTCATAAGATAGATAAGTAAAACTCAAAAGTGAATCATTTATCATTAACAACCTCAGTTTGAACAATAATTTTAATAAAAAAAACCATATCTAAACCTTTTTATTTTATTTTATGCTATATAATATAAAATTATTAAAAACAAAAAAAGAAATTACACTCATAACCTTCTCCAAGAAAGAACTTACAGTGAGTTGAGCTCTGAGGGTGTTGATCAGTTGATCCACAAAGGTGTCAGGTGTCTGATTTATTCTCACCCCAGCAGAGAGGAAAGGGAAGAGATAATTGTTAAGAAAATCATTGGATCCTATGGTCATTGAGAATATTGAGTTCTTCATAAGAAAATATTTTGCTTGAGATTTCCCCATTATTTTGTCCAGTTCTTGCCTTGTAATGTTGAAGTAGTCCACTTGGATTTCCAGCCCAAGTCTATTCACCTGTCATTAAACACAATCAAAAAATAAAAGTAAGGAGCGAGCACAATATAATGCATGCTGATAAAGTGTTCATTTTGGGACGGATAGTTTTTTTACTGTTTTCTAAAACGGCTAGCTTTCTGGTGCAAAAAATTTCTTGAACTAGAAAGTTTTTACGAAAAAATTACTTCAAAAAGTAATGAGAGTCTCCCGAAACCAAATCTAAGACTTCGTTTGAGGCTGTTTTCTTACTGCTTCTTAATCAAACTTTTTAGTAAAAAATTAGAACTTCTGTAAAAAAAACTGTTTTAAGAAACAATAAGAAAGCTGTTTCAAATAAAACCTAAGTTATAAAAAACGAAGAAGTAAAAAAGTTGTTAGACTCCGTTTGGAACGGCTTTCTTACTGCTTCTTAAAGCGGCTTTCTAGTTATAAAGTTAATTTTTTGTACTAGAAAGCCGCTTTAAGAAGCATAAGAAAAGCCGTCCCAAACGAAGCAAAAGTTTCTTTAGAAAAAGCGAGGGGGCATGCATACAAATATTTGTCCTGTGCCGTTCAATATGCCACCGCCACCTGATGCATAATTTACTCCATTCAATATAGCATTTCCTGTTGTGTTTGGGGCAAGAAATGGCGGTGAAAAACCTACTTGTCCCAATTCCTCTCCTTCAGGGAAAAAAAATGAGAAAGTTGAATCAGCATAGGCAAGTAATTCTGCAATATAAAAACAAACAGATTGGCATTTGAGTGATATAATTACCAACAATATCTGCAATAGTCCTCCCATTAGTATACCGGCCAGTCGGCTCCCCGCCGGAGGCGGTGAAGTCGATGCCGTTCGGCCTTATATCGGCCTTTGACAAAGTAGGAAGATAATTATTGTTTCCAGCATCGACGAGAGAGTCGCCGAACACGAAGGACGCCGTTAAGTTATCGATAGTATCCCCGCCGGCGCCGACGAAAGCTCCCATTAGAGAACATAACAGCAAAATTGCCAAAGCCATAGCCATATAGCATCGATCAGAGCCTTGTAAGCTTCAGTTATATTGAGTTGGAAGGAAATATGTATAGTTATGTTTGGTGGTCCTTTTAAATTGTTTGGTTTGTGTTGAGAGGGGTGGTTCATCAACATTTTACCTCCCTAAATAATTTGGGTGGAATATTTGAGGATTGGCTGTTTGAACAAGTAAGAGTAGATCACCTATATTTACAGGAAATCTGGCCTGGAATCATCTCCTTGATCGGATTTGGTGCTAAAATGGTTGACTCTGTTGAGCTTTTAAAGGTTTATAGATGAAGAGTATAAGCATTTGCAAACATGCAAAAAAAAAAATTTTTTTTTTGTTTGTTTTACTTTTTGTTATTTTGTTTTTTTTAATGTTAAATGTTAATTAAGGATATGGTATTACAATTTTGTGTTATTAGATAATTTAATTTAAATGTTGAAATAAAATATTATTATAGATTTTAATTTTAGTTTTTTGGATTATTATGGTTTGAAGATTTAAAAAATAGGGGGATTAATAATTTAATAGGTATAATGATTAAATTTTACCTATTTATAAAATTAACTTTTTTATTTTATTTTTAAACTATTAAATTCATATTTTTATGATTTATGCGATCAAACCATGGGGAATTTGGGATAAGTGAAAATTATGGAACATTTGTTTATTGTTAATTTTGATATTTGTGTGAGAATTTAAAAAAAAGGTATATAAGAATCAGACATATTGATCTTTTTATCACTTCTTTATTTAAATATCATGAATTTTTTTTATTTAATATTTGAAAATATTAGTATAATTTAATTTTTTGTTCGAACGATCTACAAAAGCTAACCAAAAAAAAAAAAAAAAATCCAACAAATAAATAAAATCGAATTTGATATGATTTCTAAAAATTCATTTTAGCAGCATGAATCTTGATGTAAAATTTGAATGGAAAATTTCTAAATTAAATTAAGGATCATTTGAACCACCAATTTTAGCTAACTTATAGTCAAATTGAACTTTTAGACAAGACAAACATATCGACAGTACAAATGATCCAATCTAACTCCAAATGAGCTCAAATCAAGCACTTGAATTGTGGTTGGAAACTTTGAACATAAATTGATGGACCAAATGATCTTCAATTATAACATGGTTATAGTTAAATCGAGCCATTCTACGAGGTGAATCTAAGAGTCGAAGGTTACTTAATTATGATATTATTATATCATTCAAATATTTTATAAACGATCGATGATCAATAGAATCAAAGGAATCAATAGATAGTCCTGATGGTGATCTATGGAAGATGGTTATGGAAGCTACTTGGAGGTTGGTGAAGCTTCCTCAAAGAGGAAAAGCCATTGGGTGCAAATGGATGTGTGCAAAGAAGAAAAGATCTCATGGAGCTAATGTGCAGTATAAGGCTAGGTTGGTCGCAAAAGGCTATGTGCAATGGAAGGGATTGCTTATGATAAGTTGTTCTCCCCAGTGGTTAAGAATCCCTCGTCCTGTGGTTACTGGACACTTGTAGCACAATATGGTCTGCTTTTAGAGGAACTCAATCTAGACATAGCACAAGCAGTTGGCGTTGTGAGCAGATTCATATATGATCCAATGAGTCATTGGCAAGCTGTGAAGAGTGTCCTAATGTATTTGAATGGTACATTTGATACAGGCTTAGAGATGTAGTCATCACAGCAGTGATCCATGACTCATGATTGATTATCCATATTTTGATGAACTACAATCGGCTTGATCCCTTGGGAGGGGGATACGTCGGCAACTATCTGGATATAGTCGTTTTGGTATTAGAGACGAGTTAGAGATTGTTGATTTAGAATTATTTCCAAATTGAAATAAGCTTTTATTTTGAAAGCTTTTAATGGCTTATTATTGTAATTGATTAGGGAATAGATTATTTCCTTAATTAAATTGATTTGTTTGAAGATTTGATTGATGCATCAATTAGGGGATCTAATTATTACATTAATTAGGGGTTTTAATTATTGCGTTACTTAGAGATTTGATTGATGCATTAATTAGAAGATCTAATTATTGTTTAGGAATTTGATTTTGATTAGATTATGAAGCATATTTACTTTAGCTCAAATCTATAATTAAAGAGGGCCCTGAGGGCTGCTGTTGAACGTAAGAGATGAGAGAAGAGAGAGTTCATTGTAATTCCCTATTTTTCTCCAAGTTAGTGAAATTATCCCCCCTCCCTATAGACATAGGCATCTTCACTGAACCACATAAATCGTCATGTTTATTTTGTTTGTGTTGTGTAATTTTATTTCCACTGTGATTGTTGGCACAACACTAAAAACCTTCACCTCATATCAGTCATGAGAGAGCTCCCAATATTGATCATTAATCATTATTCAACAAAAAGAACTTTTTTTTCAATATCATAAATATCATTCATCAATCATATGAAATTAGTATAGAAGTCATATGATTTTGAACTTTGCTCTATCATGATAAAAGGAAAAGCATACTTCTTCAAGAACCACAATCACATAAGCCAATATAACTTTGAAACAATATTATGATGATTTCCCCAACACGCAGGCACGGGTGTAAGCATGGGTTCGGGTGCTGGCGTGAGCGCCTGGTCAGTTTCGGGTTGATTTAGTGTTTTCGGGTCAACCCGAATCCAACATGATTTTAGAAACGGGTCATATCTTGAACCTGAACCCAACCTATTTGGCAAACAGGGTGACCTGAACTCAAAATTTTCTGAGGCAGGTCCGTGTTTGATTTGGATTCGGGTGGTCAATTATTAACACCCCATATCACTCTATTATTAATATTATTATTTTTTTTAATTACATTTAACATTTATGTTTATAACCTCATTGTAATTTTTTTATACCTTAAATTTGAGAGCTTTAAGGTTTATTTTTTTTTAATGAGATTATAATCATATTTGGGGAAGGATATATATGTTCCTCTGCTGTCTTCATCTATATACGTAAATAATTTTTCTGTAATTAATAATAAATCAAAGCATCTCGCATCATCAGTTGACAGAAATTTATCGTATGACTTTGAAATCTTCTATTATTTTATATTCACTGGCTTCTACTAGGCATCAGGATAGAACTAGTTGTCATTCTTTGGCACGTGTAACGTGCAACGCTGTTACACGTTAATGAACTTTACGTCTTCTTTAGACTGTAACGTGGCATGCATGTAATTTTTTTGATGTTGTTTTGGAATGAAGAGTTAATGATGTTAAGTTGTTAACTAATATTGGTGATCTATTTGGGGAAAAATTATTGTGTGTCGAAGCTGAACCCTATATGCATATCTAAGACAGCGGCTCGGTACCGTGGTACCGCAGCGCAGTAATGTTCGGTACAGGGGCTCGGTTTATGTGGGTTGGTATCCGGATGTAGAGATGCGTTTGGCGTCCGCACAGAATAATCTCTGCTATTTTGGAGGGTTGTATGTTATAATGTTGATTGTAAAGTTCATGTAAAGAAAATAATTTAACTATTTTGACTGCAAAAAATAATTCTCAAATGAAATTATGATTGTTATATGAAAAACATGAAAGCGAGAAAGCTATTCAAAACATGCAATCCCAAAATGTCATAATAGAGAGTTTGTCATTTGTTGTTTTGAAATAAAATACACAAATGTTTGTAAGGGGTATGCGGGCACAAGCTCTATTTGGCTTGTGAGATGAGCTCGATGAGCTAATATTAAGCTTCAACTTGACTTTTTGGCATGTGTGATGGCTCGTTTCAAATTTATTAATATAAAATACACTTAAAATATATTAAATTTCAATGATTTTATTATAAAATTATTTAAAATATTTAAAGATATATCTCTACCTCTCATTTTAAATTTTAAGTAATTTTTATTATATCTTATTTAATTTGTAACTCTTTTTATTTACTTGAACAAGAATGACTTTCTCTCTTTCTTAATAAATGAGCCGGCTCGGAGTCTACTCAAATCTATTTACACTAATATATATGCAAGTATATATAAATAGGATTGTTCTATAATCAATCTGTAATCAACAAACATCCATCGACAGATTGTTGCCCTTTGCCATCGTCAGACATTTGTTAATGTCATGCACGAATGTTCTAATTCCGACATTGATCCTCATCCTAAAATAGTCTTTCTTTCTATAATCAATCAATGAAAATTTAAAAATCTAGATTTACTATGACTGATTTAGAAATAGTTTGTTGAATGTGAAAAAAATGCTCAACATTTTTTAAATTGAAAAAAAAATTATTCTTATTAAGAATAATCAATTTAGAATTTTAATAAATTAATCTTCTCCCCATCATACCTTCAAAAAATTAATATAATAGCACTCTACCTGGTGAAAATCAATTGGATGTAATACATAATCTCTCTCTTACTCCAAATACATTAATATTTTCTAGAGCTATGAACTAAGGGGGGATTAATTATGCAGCATTAATCAATTGTTAGTAAACATAATTAAATAGTAATATTGTAATTAAATAAATTTTGAATACTTAAATGAAAATTACCCCTAATTAAGAACATGATGTCCAAATGTTGAATATGATGTCAAGAAGTAATTCTTCATTGCTATTGTAATATGACTTTGTTGGTGAGGAGTTAGGTGTGATGTTGTTGAGATGATAATAGTTTTCCAAATTACAAAGCTTCATCTTTGATCAAACAAAGGAATTTATTTACTATGTTAAAAAAAATAAATCATTTTCTATGATATCACATTAGAATTAATCACAAAAAATAAAATAATATATATATATATATTAAAACATACATTAAAATTAATCATAATCTAATAGTTTAGGCTTTGTTTGAGACAAATTTCGTACTGTTTTATAAACAGAGTTTTAGTACAAAAATTTTTTGGAAGAAAAATGCTGTACTAAAACTCTGTTTTATAAAGCAATAAGAAAATTGTTCCAAACGAAGCCTTAATTTCACTCCTTATTATCCCAACATATTCAACTCTATAAGATTTGTGATGTCTACATTGAGTTGATGTTTGGTTTGAAAGGAATTGAAAGAGAGGAAGTCAAAATGATAAATTAAGGAATTAAGTTGGAATTAGTTTTCACCTATTTGTTTGTTGAGAAATTGATTGAAAAAAATATATATATTTATTGGTTGATTGATGATAATTTGTATGATTATTTCTTATTAGGAGGGAATGTAAGAGTTATGATGATAATTCAATATATTTTCTGCTCATTTTTCGTTACAAATGTAAGGCTATTGTTAAGTAAAAAAAAACAAACATATTGGCTGCAAAGTGTTTGTGATCAGAACTTCTCATCAATCACAGCAATAGTGATCATAATTGTTTTAGTCTTTTTTTTTGGCAGGATGAGTACTCAAACCTGACTTGTTAGGATTCTCCTATTTGTTTCCAGCCAGTGCCATTACTAATAAGTCAGACATTCGTAGCATTTTTTATGGTGTGGGCAGGTTCGGCGTGAACGAGCGAATGCCAGCCAAATGCAACTCACAGTCGAACGGTAAGAGGAAACGTGCAGAAAATTGAGTTAGGTCGTTGGAAGGGTGGCCAAGCTTGGACTATGAAAAATATATTTATTTTTAGTAGTGGTAAAAACAACTGCGTATATTTATCTAAGAAATGATTTATCTAACCGTCAGTATTAAGTGCTGCAGAAACTCTTTTTTAGTAGTGTGCTCTATGAGTTTGAGTTAAACATTAGAGAATTGTAATGAGAAACACTATGAGAGAGAGAGAGAAGATGAAGAAGAAGAAGAAAATGTTAATACTCTCATTAAAAAAGATTAAGCTAAAAAGAATAATAAATAATTACTAATTATACATATTAATGTTATAAGATTGAATACTTGATAAAAGAGGCAGACCTAGAGGTAAAAATATAAATACTTAAGAAGGAAAACCAAAATTACAAAAAAAAAAAGTTAAAGAATTAAATTCTAAAATAAAATTAAAAGGCCAACTATTAGATAATTAGAGCATTATAATCACTATAAATTAAGTAGAAGTCGTGATATATCCAAATATTTAACTTAGAAAATTAAAAAAATAATTATAATCATATATTTATATAATCAATCATTTGTTTTTGTTTTTTTTTTTTTTTCAATTTCTATATTTCTCTCTCCATTTAATTCTCTAATTTAAAAAGATGGACTTCGATCGTTAACGAACAGAACTAATGGGCCGAAGAGGCTTTTTTTAATATTCAAACTTGGGCCTATTTAAAAAAAAGGCCGAATTTGGCCTTCATTCCTAACCTGCCAATTCTGGCTTAACTAATGTAACTCTAATCCTCTGCGGGTCGAACCCGAAACTAACCTGGTACTATTCAGGTCAACCCGAACCTGACCCATTTTCCCATTTTTGAAAATGGGTCAGTTTTCCTGACCTGAACCCGACCCGCATCGGGTCCGGGTCAACCCGACACGACCCGAATGACTCGTTTCCAACAAAAAATTGCTAGTTTTCGGGTCAAAAACGGGTCAATCTCGGGTTGCCGTGTCAAAATCGAGCTTTGGGGTCAATTTTGGGTCAAAAGGGTTAACCCGAACCCAACCCGATTTTTGAAATGTGTCGAAATGTTGAACCCGAACCTGATCCGTTTCAGGTTCGGATTGACCCTAACCCGAAATTTTCGGGTCGGGTTCGAGTCGTGTTTTCAGGTCGTGTCAAATATTGACACCCCTATGTTGTTGTATATACTTTTTTTTCTTTTTTTTTTATTTTAATTTTAAGCTTAGTGAGAATTATGTGCCTGATAGTTTCATTGCTCAGTAGTAGCATATTTATCTCTATTAAAATAGAGATAAATTTATGTTTCATTTGGAACAGCATTCATACTAATTCTAAAGTAGTTTCTAGCATAAAATTTTGTTCTTGAAAGCTGCTTTAAATACAGTAAAAAAGTTGTCCCAAATGAAGCCTAAAAAAAGAGCACAACTTGGCAATAATAAAATTTGATAGTTTATTACATAACTAAAAACAAAAGTTTGGAGGCATTTCGATTGGTAATAAATCCAACATGCCTATCATAAGAATCTAATAACCTTCCTTCCAATTAAGAACTAACAGAAAAATAAAAATTAAAAATAAATAAAAATATGAAGGAAATTCTTCTTTCTCTTTTTTTATCTGTCTTGACTCATTCTCACATCTCTTTATGATCGTTCAGACTGTTTGTGCACATATTGTGTACACACTGTGTTTAAAAGTATACAATATATTTTTATACATAGTGTGTACACACTATGTACGCTTATATATCCGAACGCAGCTCTACGTCCACATCCCGCACGTAATAATTTCTCATTTGGAAGCGCTTGAATCCTTGAAGAACTACAACAAAAATATTAGTACTTGCTCAAGTAATCAATGTCATCAACTCTGCAGTCATCCATGCTATCATCATAACTAGCATCACCGATATCATTTGGCGAAACTTAGCAGACTGAACTAAGGTACGAGACAATAATACAATCTAATTGATTATTACAATTATATCACACACAGTACTAACACAATCACTAATGGAGATATCATGACCTCATGGAAAAAACAGTCTGTGTAAAATTTTTCCGATTCTTTGATCTTATTTTTGTATATATATAGAACCAAAGATATCTGAAACCAATGAATCAATGAAATCTAGCCCTTGGTCAACATATGTAAGCCTAAGGAGGGAGCTTAAGTAGTAATTTAGCGTAAAATTAAAAAAAAAAACATAATATTTAGTACTCATAAAATTAGGTCAAACCAATAGAAGCAAGGTCCCTGATCAGGGACAGATCCAGCCTTTTTTTAGGGTGAGCAAATTCAATATATAAAAAGGAAATTTACATATCATTAGCAAAATTAAACACTAAAATTAGAAATCAAGCACAATATTTCACAGGTCAACTAGGTCTTTAAAACATTCAATATACAACAAATCAAATCCATATAAATTAACAATAGAAAGTCAACATTAAAAAAGGGGGATTTACATACAAACCACCCTATAATACTTTATTCTCACATCTAACATCTAAAACTTTAATATTACATACATACCACTCATATATAGTTCACTTTCATATCAAGTATGAGTTGTAGAATGAAATACATGGGTGGTAGGAATGAAATATGAGTGGCATATTTGATATTAAAATAATATATGGTGGTATGTATGTAATATTAAAGTATTGGGTATTAGATATATAAATATGATGGTATAAAATGGCATGTATCAAAAAAAATTGCTTCATTATTTTGACTTCGGCTTTGTTTGGGAGAACTTTTTTATTGCTTTCTAAACGTAGTTTTAGTAGAAAATTAAAAAAAAAAATTGTACTAAAACTCTGTTTTAGAAAGCAATAAAAAACCCGTCCCAAACGAAACCTTCATGGTAGAAAGGATTTAGCATCACCGTATGTAACAAGCTATGTGTGAAAATCACATTAGTAGTAAACGAATACATAACTATGTGCACGGAAAAGGAAGAATGAGAGAAAAGCGAGGGAGTATATATGCTTTTGGAGAGAAAAGAGAAAAAGGGGTATACCTAAATTGATTTCATTATAAATAATGGGAAAACGGTAAAACAAACCCAACGTCACCAAAATCGATCAACTCCAAGCCCAAATGAGCTCAAATAAAGGGTTTAGAGCATATTTAGAAGTTTCAGAGCATTCATTAGATGATCAAATGATCTCCAAATTAAACATGTTTATAGTTGATTGAGCGGCTTGATGAGACGGATCCAATGAAGCCAAGATAACTTAAATTTGACATCATTAAGACACTTTAAATACTTGACGAATGTTTTATGATCGAGAGAATCACTACAAAAAAATCACATTTTTTTGTGGAAAAATCCGTCGCAAAATAAGGAAAATATGTCGCAAATTCTGATTTGAGGAGGATTTTTGGTTGATTTCTTGTTGTCGCAAAAAACAGCGTCGCAAAATTATTTGCTGCGAAAAAGAAATTTACCGCATTTCTAACCTAACTGGCTGCCCAGTACGCGAGCATGACTGCCCTCCGGACCAATTGCCTGCTCATGCCTAACTAGCTGGCTGCCTGAGCCCGCCTTACCGACTGCCTGACCGAACTGGCATTCCACATGAACTGTCCAGGAATTGAACCTGCTCCTCTTGCAAACTAACCCACTGATGTCTGATCTCCACTCGACCACACAGACAAAATACAATATAAAGTTGTTTTATTTATATTATTAGTCAGCTTGCGTTGCAAAAAAAAAAATCTTTGAAAATTTCTGTCTCAAATTCGTCGTCATTTTCGATAAAAAATAATCCGTCGTAAAGTTTGCAGAAAATTCATAAATTTCCTGTAGTGAATGAATGCGGACGGTCGTTGGAGCACTCCAATTTTTCTCTAGATCATTTTCATATTTACAGAACTTGTCACTCTTAAAAATTTATAAATAGACTATATTATCATTCTTCACATGAGGGATGTCGGAATAATAGAAAGAACTAGAAAGAGCTCTCTTATATTTTCCAACCATCGTTGTGGATGACCACCATAGCCATTGGCCCCAACAATCTTCACGAATCACCACCACCTCCAAAATACTAAGACGAATTGATTAAACCAACTCGTCTGTGAAGAAAAGTTCATCCTTGTATCACCTACTACATAATAGAGTATTCAACTAGGTTAGATCCAATAATTTTTTTCTGGATTTTTATTATTATATAAAATTTAATTTATAATAAAAATCATTATTGTTCGTAAAATTTAAGAACATGTAATTATTTTTTACAAAAAAAAAAAAGTTTTTATCTATAGCTTC